TTTTTTTTTTTGGTCTTTTTGAGACAGGGTCTCCCTGTAGCCCTAGCTGTCCTGGAACTCACTATGTAGACTAGGCTGACCTTGAACTCACAAGAGATCCGCCTGCCTCTGCCTCCCGAGTTTAAGCAAATTCAAATTGCATAAAATGTAGAACACTCTTTTCAAGTATCAGTAGCCAGTCAGGGCCATCTCCTGTCAGCCCCTTACCCTTCTCCTCCTGGCTCAGCAGGCCTGGTACTGAGAATTACACTCTGACAGGGCAGGTGCACCAATCATATTTCTTCTAGCGCTACTGTAGAGATAGGCAGCAGTCAGTCAGATTGTGGTGAGATTGCACACCCGGTCTGTCTGCTTCAGATCACAGAATCCCAGGCTCAGTCTGACACTGCTCTTGGGTTTTCATACTCTAAAACCGAGAAAAATGAAATCTTTGGCTTTATTCATGGAAAAGTGGTTAAACAACTTGATTCTGGTGCTTCAAGTTGGTGGCATGTTACTGCTGTCCTGTAACAGCATTCCAGAATTCCTCTGCTTAATAACATGGTGTGAAGTGTTGGTTGACGGCTTGCTCTAACCAGGGCTCCTCAACAGTACCTGGGTGTGGCAGCTCTTTTCCTGTCTACAGAGTACTCGCGTTATCTCCATGCGCACCTTGATATCCCCCTGACGGAATATAATGTTGACACGGATCTGCCAGGCAGCTTCAAGGACCACTGGGCCAAGAACCTGCCTTTTCTCATAGATGGCTACGAGGAGCAGCCCGGCCTACAGCCCCACATCAGGTAAGTGGCAGGGTAAACTGGAGGCTCGTCCTGGTGTTGCTTTTCTGTTTGCTAGGATTGGGTTTCATCATGTAGCCCAGGCTGACCTCAAACTCATGATCCTCTTGTCTCATCCTCCCAAGTGCTGATATTTCTTAAAATGGCTTCCTGCTCATGTTCTTATTTAATTTCCTTTAGGAGTTTGTGTGTCTCTAGCTCCTCTTCATGTATAAAGTACCTTGAAACTTACAGATGCTTCACACTTCAGATGTACCCAGATTTAGGAAATAATACTAATCTTTATTTATTTATTTTTTTAATCCTTTTGAGACAGGGTCTCCCTGTTCCCCCACCTGGCCTGGAACTATGTAGACCAGACTAGTCTCAATCTCAGGTCACCTGCCTCGGCCTCCTGAGTACTGGCATTAAAGGTGTGCACTGATAATGCTGATCTTTGATAAGCATTATAATTTGTCCTGTTGCTTGTAAAACAAAAATTTTTGAGGGGGGTTCTTTTTGAAACAGGGTCTCCTGTGGCCCCAGCTGGCCACAGAGATACACCTGCCTCTGCCTCCCAAGTACTGGGACTATAAGCATGTGCCACCACGCCCAGCCTGTAAAACAAATTATTTAACAATTTAAAAGTTTAGCCAGGTGTGGTAGTGCACAAATGTAATCCCCACACTTGGGGGGTAAAGGCAAGAAGATCGGGAGGTCCAGGCCAGCCTGGGCTACTTGAGACCCTGTCTTTTAGGAAAAAAAAGGGGTGGGGTGGGGAAAGAAGGTTATAAAACCATGCTACTGCTATAATGGGAAAAAGTAGATATGCTTAAGGGCTGTCTCACTACAAAACAGATCCAGAGCAGAGATTAATTCCTGGAAGTCCAGCAATACCTTAATATTTAAAAATCTCTATACTTTGGCCTTTCTGTTCTTTAAAGAAGGAAGGAGAAGGTTAGCTTCCTTGGGGGAGAAGCATCCTGGGAAGTATACCCACCACCCCCTCAACCCCTGCAGTGGAGTAAGGGATGCTAGGAGCTAGAGTCAAGAGGGCTATCCTATAATTTTCTGGAGGGCCATTGTGCCCCATGTTGGAGGCGTTCCAGGACCTCAGAACCTCAGAAGAAACAACAGTAAACCCTCCTGGTAAGAAAGCCACACCACCCTGCCCCCCCCCCATATTCCCACAGATTAAGACCAAGGGAGTGAGAACCAAACATCAAAACCATTGTGCTGGATAGCTTTAGTGTCAACTTGACATACCTGGGTTGAGGGAGCCTCAATTGGGGAATTTCCTCCATTGGACTGGCCTGTGGCCATGTCTCTGGAGCATTTTCTTGATTAAGTGATGTGGGAGGGCCCAGCCCACTGTGAGTGGTACCACTCCTGGGCAAGTGAACCATGTGGTGTAAGAAAGCAGGTTGAGCAAGGGCCAGAGGAGCAAGCCAGTCAGCAGCGTTTCTCCATGGCCTGTGCTCCAGCTTCTGCCTGCAAGTTCCTGCCCTGAGTTCCTATCTTGGGCTCTGTAATGAAGGATGACCCAGAAGGTGGAATGCTTCCACTCTCCCATTTCCTGTAGTGTGTTGGAGTACTAGCCCAGGGGATGGTGCTGCCCATACTCAGGGCCAGACTTGCCTCTCTGTTAATCCCCTGGAAAGACCCTCAAAGACAGACATCCTTGCAGGCATGCCTCAGTCTCCTAGGTAATTCTGAATCCAGTCCAGCAACAATGAAGATTAACCATCAGTTTGTTAAAAGGATAGGGGCAAAGCATGCAGCTTCCACATTGGCAGAAGGGTGAGAAGCACAGAGAAAAATACCAAAAAGTTAAATCCAAAATCTACCAGAAAAGTGAAGTATATCGAGGAGGTGTGAAAAAATGGGGCTGGGAGACCTTAGCAGACTGCCTGACAGTTCTGGCCTCCATCTGGCTTAGACGCTGAGAACCCAGCAGACCGCCTGAGAGCACCGGGATCTGTCCTCTGCGTGGTGGTAGAATCCCACTCAATCTGGCCAACAGCCAGTGGAAAACAGATGACGCAGAGACCTGAAAGTTCGGTGCCTTGCCACAATGGGGGGACGATCATCCCACACCTACCACCCCCTCCAAGGCTCACGGACTTTTGTGGAAGAGGTTGGTGGAAAGAATGGAAGAGCCAGAGGAAGGGGTGGAATGTTAACTGGAATGTCCTCCAACCACTATGTTGGCAAGCTATAGTCACACCTCTTTTCTACACTCATCAAGGAGTCAAGGGGGGAGTCAGTTACCCCTCCCACCCAATCAGTCGACCTTAGCTGCATGTGGGGGAAGACGCAAAGGATATATAAGTTTAGAACACCAAGAAGCACCTCTCACCATTTTGTGTGGCTGTTGAGAGGTCACAGGATCTGTATTTGAGTGTGGACTTTACAGCACAGCTGTACATGTGGGGCACCCACTCTTCTGTAAATAAACCCCTACTCTATGCTCTGCTAAAAAGAATAGAAAAAAGAAAAAATGGGTCTGGGCATGATAGCACACAGTTAATCCTACCACTTGGGAGGCAGAAGCAGGTGGATCTCTGAGATGGAGACCAGCCTGGTCTATGTATTGAGTTCCAGGCCAACTGAAAGGGAGACTTTGTTTCAAACAAACAAAATTGGGCAAATTAGCCAGGCAGTAGGGGTCCACATCTTTAATTCCTGCACTCAAGAGGCAGAGGCAGGCATGTGTCTGAGTTCCAGGCTAGCCTGGTCTACACAATGAGTTCCAAACCAGCCAGCCAGGGCTGCATAGTGAGACCCTGTCTCAAAAAGAAAAGGAGGGGACAAATAAATAAAAAGGAAAATAGAAACTGGTTGAAATAAATCCAGATTTCTAATAATTGCAATAAATGTCTGTGGACTGAGCATCAGTTAAAAAACAAATGTAATCTGGTGATTGGATACATAATCTGGTGGCTGCATAGCTGGAGAAGTTTGCAGAACACATCCCAGTAAGAAGGGTCCTGGGATTCACTGTGCTACTTGCCAGTGTGATGACCAGCTTGCAGTAGCAATGTGCACATGGCTCATGTAGAGATGGCTTCCTTTAATCATGTGGCAGGATCTGACGCTCTGGAGGAGGCTTCTCGGGTCCCCACTGTCTTGGTTCAAGTTCCGGTGGGGGGTGTTTGCCCCTCAGGATGACAAGTGGCTGCTGCAGGGGTCCTTATCATATTCACGGTGTTTCTTGCAGGGATGTGCTGCATCAGAATTTTGAGGGTTACACACTTGAAGTTCAGGAGCTGATCTGTGTGGCTGACCGCTTGGGCTCACTGATGCAATATGAAACACCTGGCTTCTTGCCCAACAAGAGGATACACCGAGGTATTCTGGGAGCTCTTGAGGTGGAATATTTCTGGCACAGGACAAGGTAGTTAGGGTACGCTGTCTTTCTTTAAAAATTATTTAGGGCTGGAGAGATGGCTCAGCGGTTAAGAGCACTGACTGCTCTTGCAGAAGACTCAGGTTCCATTCCCAGCACCCACATGGCAGCTAACAACCATCCGTAGCTCCAGTTCCAAGGGATCCAATGCCCTCTTCTAACCTCTGTGGGCACATGGGTGTACTTACATATACGCAGGCAGTACACTCATACACATAAAAATAAATAAAAATTATTTATTGTGCTTGCTCAGCTCTCCACATGACTAGAGCAGAAATGTGTAACTCACAGTGCATGCTGAAGGAAGATGCTTCTTCCAGCCTGGGTTCTTGGCTGTTACTGTCAGATGGATATGAAAGATAGGTCTCAAGCCCTTTCTGAAGGTCAGGCCCCTTGTTCCAGGGCAGCTCTTTCCTCCCTACAAGAGAGAGAAGGAATTAGAACCTCTACTTGCTCCAGCATGAGGCAGCACTATATGACAAACACTTGCCTTTAATTTCAGCAGGGCCATCAGAACCCCTCACTATGTCTCCAGGAGTTCTGGTTCTTTATGTGGTAATTCTGGGAGGTCACTGAAGCTTGGAGAAAGAAGGTGGGAATTAGCCCTCGAAAGGCTTCTGGTGATCTCTGACTTCTCTGCATTTCTCTCCCAAAGCCATGGGCTTGGCAGCACTGGAGGTCATGCAGGCTGTGCAGCGCACATGGACCAACTCAAAGGTTCGCATGAATGGAAAAACTCGGCTGATGCAGTGGAGGGACATGTTTGACATCGCAGTGAAGTGGAGAAGGTAATGGACCAGAAGAGTAAAGAAGTGGAAATCTCCTATGGACCTCTGTCCTTGCCCACAAACAGCTTTGGTTCCCCATTTTACTTACAAAGTTAGGTTTTATGGGGCTGGAGAGATGGCTCAGTGGTTAAGAGCACTGGTTGCTCTTGCAGAGCAACCCAGGTTTGAATCCCAGCACCCACATGGTGGCTAACCATCTGTAACCCCAGTTCCAGGGGATCTAATGCCCCCTTCTGTCCTCTGTGGGCAATTCACGACATGTGTGCATTTGCATAAATGTAGGCATAATACTCATACACATAAAATGAAAATAAAAAAGAAAGTTGGCTATATAAGTTAATATATTGAGTGCTTTTTCTATAAAGTTTGCCAACAGTTTCTAGCTTCTTTATTCTCTGGAACACAGTCAACTCATGTTCACTGAAGTAGGAGGAAGCATTACTGTGTGAACACAGCTTTTAAATCATGGTCTCTGAAAGAGGCTTCCTTACCCATGGTGTCCCTTTAGCATGCAGGCCCCCTGTGGACTCTAGTACTCACATGCTTGCTAGTGTATGTTTCTTTCTCATTGCTGTGACAAGGTACCTGACAAAAAGTAATTTAAGAGAGGAAAGGTTTGTTTCGGTTCATGGGAAGGCAAGGCTCAGATTGAGTCCAGTGGGAAGCAGAGATGAAGGTGGTGCTCCGCTCACTTGTTCTTTATTCAATCTGGGATCCTAGCCATGGAACAATTACCAACTACATTTAGGGTGGGTCTTCTCCAATTAATCCTCTCTGAATTGCCATCTCCTAGGATGTGTGTCTCCTAGGCTGATTCTAAATCTCATCAATTCAGACCGGCTGTTACAGCTCATCCTCTTTCCTAACTTCTCATTTTGGTGTGCCCTGAATGTGTGTTTTTGAAAAGTCTGAACCAGCAGGACTCTGCCTTCACTTTTGTAGACACATCCTTGGTTTCTCCTAAAAGCTCTGAACGTATCAAGGTTGGGTAAGGTCTCAGCTCTCACAAGCTTTGTTTCACAGGATTGCTGACCCGGACCAGCCTGTACTGTGGCTGGATCAGATGCCAGCACGAAGTCTCAGCAGAGGATTCAACAACCATATCAACTTAATCAGGTAGGAACCTTTTATGCCTCATTCCTGTTTGCATAGGAGTGTAGCATCAGCAGATGGGCCCCAGTGGCCTTGATAGGACACATCCAGAGTAGCTCTGCATCCACAATCTACTCCATCCCCTCCTGCTGGTCCAGCTGCAGACAGGCAATATACAGTGCACCTTCACAGTGCAGAACATTGCTCAAAGGGTGGTCTCAGATTATTACCTAGGGTGTCAGTTTTCAAGACATCCTGAAATAGCACAGAAAGCAATTGGATGGAAAATTTGTCATTTGTCATAGTATCCTCATGGGTCTGCTGTGACAGGGACCCTCAGGTCCACCCTAAGCACTAAGGGCTCAAAGCACTGACACCAGCTGGTCACCACGATTGCTCCCTGGTGGTGAGCTGGGCAAACTGCCTGCCTCTGCATGGTCCCAAGTCAGTTCAGTTCTGCAGTTCAGACACCTGAGCAGATGCTTGCCTCTTTCCTCATTTCCTGGGCTTAGCCACCTGTAGACAAACATGGGCCCACACTGAGGAACCCCAGCTTTAGGAGGCCTATGGTATTAGCTGCTGTTAAGTGAAAGTAACTTCAGAGACAATTGACAGATGTGGCACTGTGTCACATCTAAGATGCTCCCATTTCAGAACCTAAGAAATGTTACTCTGTGTAACACTGGCATTTAAATTTAGTTTTTAATGGAAATGTCTTACATACTTACCTTTTAAATTTCTAGAAAATGCATTTCTTATACAGGTGTGTGGCACACGCCTTCAATCCCAGCACTCGGGAGGTAGATGCAGGTAGATCTCTGTGAGTTCAAGGCTAGCCTGGTCTGCATAGTGAGTACCAGGCCAGCTTGGGGATACAGGGAGACCCTGTCTCAAAAAGACGAAAGAGAGAGAGAGAGAGAGAGAGAGAGAGAGAGAGAGAGAGAGAGAGAGAGAGAGAGGAAGGAAGGAAGGAAGGAAGGAAGGAAAGAAAGAGAATGCATTCCCCCCTTGTTATTGGCATCTTCCTTTTTCTCTTGGAGTGATATTTATAGCTAGTGTTAGTCAGTGACTGTAATGGAGGCTGCTGAAGGTAGGCCAGAAAATATCACTGTGTGGAGTGCTCAGAGTCAGGGGCCCATGTCAGGATGCTGTAGAGTGCAGAGAAGGAGCACCTGGTGTGGCTATGAACCATGCCTGAGCTGTCCAGGAGAGAGAATGGGGCTGTGTACCAACCCACAGGCAAATTCAGCCTTGCCAGGAAACTGTGACTCATCCATTGTAGCTGTGGACCACTGTACCTTCCAGGGAGTCTTGGGAACTGAGATTGGAAAATGGGCAGAAACCAAAATGGTGAACCACTGAGGGATGGAGAGCCATTGAGGGGTGGAGAGACTAGGGGTGGAGAGCGTTGTGGGTAGAAAGACATTCAGGGATGGAGAGCCACTGAGGGTGGGGAGCCACTGGGGTTGGAGAGACATTAGTGGATGGAGAACCATGGGTCATAGAGAGCCATTCAGGGGTAGAGAGCAGAGAGGCAGCAAGAATAGACCTATGCATGTGGAGGATCACAGAGATGGCAGATGAAATGAACAGATTTGTGAGGGACCAGCAGCCTTCGAAGTAGAGGAAGGGGTTTGTAGACTGAGAACAAGTGTAGAGACAGGGTGTGTGTGTGTGTGTGTGTGTGTGTGTGTGTGTGTGTGTGTGTAGTTGGGAGGGAGGTGGATGCCCCAGGACAGTGCTCTCAAGAGTCAGAAGCTCTGCAGTGGCTCAGAGGTATCTGGGAGCAAGCCAGTCAGGGAGCAGTGGGGCTGGAGACAGATGTGCCCTGTTGGGGAGGAAAAGCCTACTTAAGTCATAACCTTGACTTGGGAGTGTCTGTGGAAAATAGGCAGTGGTGTTCTCAGACACAGATGATGCTGGGCATGAACTTCTGGGAGAGTTTCAAGTTAAAAAGTGGGAATGTGAAGAATCTAATATTGCAGTAGACAGAAAACTGCTGAACAGCAAGGAGGTACGCAGACATGCTACATGGAGAGCGAGGTCTTGTATGTCATCCAGAGAGGGGCCTCCACCAAGGCATTTGGCGTCAAGTCCGAGCTCCATTCAAGCTCAGGTTTTCCTTCCCCTGCAGCCTGCCTGAGTCCTGAGTCATGTGCCCTTCCTACCAGGACAGGCTCCAGAGCCAAGTGACTAAGATGGGCCTCTCTTCTCCCACACTCTGCCATGTTAATACCCACCCTCTCCACTTTCTGAGTTAGCTGAAATTAAATGTTGCTTTGAACACATTCCTTTGTAAAAAGATGGTTAATTTTATTATTTCTGCTTTACAGGGGTCAGGTGATTAACATGAGATACCTGGAATATTTTGAGAAAATACTTCATTTTATTAAAGATAGAATTCTTGTTTATCACGGGTAAGCCTTCCATTTTCTCCTTTATATGAAGGATTGAGTTCATAAATTTGATGTGTGGTATGTTTGTGAAATGGGAAAACTGAGCCACTTGCAGACCAAATAGTCACTGTTACTGTCTGCCTCTTTGTAATGGCCTCACAGGGGCAGTGTTAGCCTGACACCGCACTATAACGTTCCAGTCTTCTCATTTGTCTGTTTGGGAGCTCAGCTTTGAATGGTGAGGATCACCATAAATCAGAACGGTGTTGGGGCAGAACTCTAGCAGGAAGCGTCAGTCTTAGCGGATTTAGAAGGAAAAACACATGTATTTCCAGTTGTAGCATTGGAATAGGAGAGTTAAGGGTTTTTGGTTGTTGTTTATTATTTTATGTGTATGAGTGTTTTGCCTGCATATATGAAATTGTTCCACATGCACACAGTGCCCATCGAAGCCAGAAGGCATGAGATCTTCTAGAACTAGAGTTACCCGTGGTTGTTAGCCACCATGTGGGTGCTGGGAACTGAACTTGGGTCCTTTTCAAGAACAGCCAGTGCTCTTAACCACTGAGCTCTCTCTCCAGCCCCTGCAAGGTTTTGTAAAGAAGCCTCACTGTAACGGGGCTCAGATGTGGAATGTTGGCTATGCTGCTTTTCCTCCGCTCCACCTTCATTCTCATCTGCAGCCCCATACCTGCTAGGGTTGAAGCATCCTGTTGTTGCCCACAGCTTGAAGTACCAATCTTCCCCAGTGCCTGACAGCAGATACCACAATCCCTAGGTGCTTCCACAAAATGGCACATTTATACAAAATGCATACATATGCTCCCGCCTGCTTTGGCTTGCTTAGACTCCTTATAGTTCCTAACACCAGGCTAGCGTTGTGTGGACAGGTGCTCTGCTGTATCACTTGGGAAATGGTGAGAAGGAAGGTCTGCATGGCAGGACAGACACGATTTTCTCACATTCATTGGTCCAAGTTGTGTGAATATGTCAGTGTGGCCCCTCAGGCTACAGAAGCCCATGACACTGAACTGCTCCTCATTAAGGACAGTTTATTTAAATGCTTAAATGTGATCAGTTTATCACATTTCTGCATTAATTTTGTCTCTCTCTCTCCCTCTCCCCCCTCTCCCCACCCCCCAAGAGCAAATAATCCGAAAGGCTTGTTGGAAGTCAGAGAAGCTCTGGAAAAAGTACACAAAGTGGAAGACCTTCTTCCGATTATGAAGGTAAGCTGAACATCAGAATCTCAGGAGGAGCCATAGAGGAGGAACCAGCTGCACCTGGAGAGAAGACTGCACATTTGTTAATGTGCTGAGGCATGGTGTTGTACATACATCATAAGCAGCAACCAGAGTAAAATGAAATGCTGAAATCAGACCCAGCCAGAAGAACTGATTTGTGAGGAAGTGGTTAATCCAGGAAACACTGGGGCTTGGAAACAAGGCACACGAACTGGGCTTCTGGCCACTGTTGAGTCCTCGACTGCCCTCCCACCTGAGAGGGGTGGTCAGCCTGGACCAGAACCATAGCAGCTGTCTTCAGGCATCAGGTCACTAAGACTGTGATTCCTGAAAGAAGGAAATGTGAGGAGCCCATTTACCCCCAGCTTTCTACTGGGGGTGTTCAGTGTACTATAAGGCAGGTACAGAAGAGGAGACAGCGTGCAGGATAGGGAGTACCCAAGGCCAGGGGTACTGGTCCTTGTGGGGCCATGTAGCTGCAGTGAGAGGCAGAGAGAGGCTCAACAATGGCTGCTCAGAGATAACCCTGAGCAGGGGGGTCAGGTTTGCAGAGCCGAGACTGAGGTTGTGATCTCACCAAGGTGGGCATTTCCCGTGTGCAACCCTAGCACATGGGTTTACACGTGTTCAGTCCCACAGGGGACTTGCTGCAACTCAAGATACAGCTCTTACCTGGCATGTGTGCACGTGCGCACACGCACACACTGCCTTCCACCCCCTCCCCATGCCTAGCACCTGGCAAGCAGCAACAGCATGAGTTCTGATGTCTGTCTTAATTTGAAATAGAGAACAGAAATGAGTTGTATCATCTTTTCAACTCCAGAGGGCAGAAATCTGGAATAAAGATGTCAGTCCAAATGAAAGCTCACGAAAAAGGAGGAGAAAGCTGAACAGGAACCGCAGCAGCTGTGCTGTCTCAGCATGACATGCATGACAACTGTTTTGTTGAGAACAGGACCTCAGGTGGCTTTTAAAATCCACCAAGTTGGGCTGATCTTCAGTATCAGCAGCAGTTACTCCCATGATAGTCCCCACCATCAAAGTCCAATGGGACATTTGGAAGCTATGCACAGTGTATGACTGTCCACAACCCTGGCTGCCTCTAGCCAGACTCTGTAACAGTCTTTCACAAATCCCACAGAACTGCAGAGGACCACCTGGCACAACTGAGTGACAGGACACACCATAGCAAAAGGAACCTGGGAACCACAGAGGGCCAACTTTTCAGTGCTTTCCTGGGTATTTTAGCTCTGAAATTTAATAAGGCATTAGAGGGATTTTGGAAAGAAAAGCAGAATGTATTGAGATGGGTCCCTTAGCACCTAGTGTAAGGGTGGCCAGGGTTGCCCAAGTTTTGTCATCTGTAGGAGCTGGTCCTTTGGGTGGAAGCCATTTCAGCTTCAGTCTAGCTTCAGCCTGATTACAGATATGTTGGTAGTTTACAAGCACAACAAGTCTGTGTGTTTAAAGTGCATTGAAAATGTGGTAACCTGCAGCTTCCCTTGAAAAGCATGGTGTGCTGCATGGAGACCCAGCAGAGATGGACCTCAGGCCTCAGCAGGTGGCTGTTTAGTTGGGAGTGTGGGCCAGAGACAGAGCATTAAGCATTGGCCTTACCCTCCACGCCACCACTTCCTGGCACAGTGGCTTTTGGCCAGGCTCATTTTCTATCTTACAAGTGTGAGTTCATACCTGGTCTTAGCTTGTGGCAAGGCTACAGTAAGGATTGGCATGCAGTAAGCATCTGCACTCATCTTCTGAGAGCCGTTCCCTGAAAGAAAGATAACTCCTTTCCTGCTTCAGTTCCACTGCCAGCCCTGGTAGCCTACTCTGTCCAGCTGCATCCTGTTCTGGCCTTCCAGCTGACACTGCTGGGGCCTGCTGTTGGAGACAGCCCTCCCTCTAGGGCCTGAAGGAGGCCTGTATCATTGTCTGTCTTATCCAGCACCATCCATCCTAGGCAAATGTGGCACATTAAGTAGCTGAACTAGGGAGGCATTTTTCTTGAGTAATGGTCACAACCCGGAACGCCATTTCAATGTCACAAGTTTGAACCCAAAACTGCCATCAAAGCTGTGCCCTAGGAGGCACCTGCTCGGTTCTGAGCATTCCCTTAAGGTCACCATGGTCTGCAGGGTTGGAATGTGTACAGATGAAACTGAGGGAATACTGAGCACCTCTGGGGCAGGCACCTCAGTGGAGGTGCCTAATAAAGTGCTTTTTGAGTTTGCAGGATGTTGGCAGCCAAGGGTGCTGCATTGAACTGGAACAGGAAACATTGGAGCAGCTGCCACGCTGGTCAGAACTGGGCTGGCAGGGGCACCCTGCTGCTTCCTGCTCTGCAGGCTCAAAAGCTTGTAGGAATGAGACGGGTTCCTGGGCTTGTGCTCGGTCTGAAGATAGGAGAGGTGTCCCTGGTCACTGCCTACCAGGAGAGCACATGGTCTCTCAAACTGGCTACCTTAGAAACAGCCAGGGCCCAGTTAGCACCAAGAGCTGCAGTTAGGGTTCTGGTTGGGTTAGAACCAGCATGTCCAACCTGCAGCCTGCAGGTTACAGCATCATGTTGCAGTGTCAGAAGGTTGGGTTCCTCTGCCCCGTTACTAACGTGAATTTTCTTTTTCCCTTGAAAGCAGTTTAATACCAAAACGAAGGATGGGTTCACTGTGAACACCAAGGTCCCCAGCCTCAAAGATCAAGGGAAAGAGCATGATGGCTTCACCATCACTATCACAGGAGATAAGTACGTGTGCTCAATGGTGGGGCTACAGTGGCCAAGAGGTGCGTTCTGAAGTGGAGAGGGACAGTGTGTGTCAGAGGGCTGCACCTTTTTGTGTGCCCACCTAAAACTACACAGCTTCCTGGCCACCAAGTGCACAGCCCACTGTGTTCCTGGAACGCCTTTGCCTGGCTGTTCAGAGGTTGGGGGGTTTCCACTTGTCTGAAAGAATGAATGTCGGGGATATAGATAACCAAAATTAAGAAAATTGAAGTCAAGACTTAAATCCCTGGGTTATATTTGTGACCTCCTCTGCTGCCCTGACCATTGTGTCCTCATGGTCACTTTCACAGCCACTGCCTCACAAGTATTTTTAAAATCATTTATTTTTTAAAATTTTTTGACAGTTCATACATGGATGTAATGAATTTTAGTTCTTTTCACCCCCTATTACACTGACTTTTTTCTTTTATATTTACTCATTCATCTATTTGTTTATTTACTTATGTGTTTATTGAGTGTGTCTGTATGTATATGTGTAAGTGTGTGGGCCCACTAGTGCCCTGGCATGCATGTGGAGGTCAGAGGGAGTCAGTTCTCTCCTTCCACCCTGCGGGACCCAGGGATCAAATGTCAGTTTATCAGGCTTGGCCAAAAGTGCCAATACCAACTTAGCCATCTCACCCTCCTACCCAGCTTTTTTGTTTGCCTGAGATAGGATCTTTCCATGCAGTCCTACGTAGACAGTCCTGGCTGGCTCCAAACTTATTACCTTGTCTTACTGCCCCGCTTCCCACTGAAACCCTTCTTCCCAGCAAGTCTCCTTCCTACTTGCAAGTCTTTTGTATATGTGACCCACTGAGTCCTATGAATACTTTGGGCTTTTCTCCATGTCTTCCAAACTAGACCCACTGTCCCATTTTAAACTCTTGCCCAGCTGTGAGATGACCCTAATCCTGTCTCTCCTCTCGCTCCCTCCAGCAAGAGGATCTAAAAACAAGCAGGTCCTGCTAATGGTATTGTGTGATAAATCGCTGCTGCATAACTTTACCCTCATTAGAGCTTAAGCAGAGCTATGCCAGGGGCAGAAGCTTAAACAGGAGACATGGTGGCAGCATGTACTCGACCTCCCACACAGCTCCTGCTGCTGATCTTGAGTGGAATCAGAGACTGGGAAAGGAAGCATAAAGATGCATCAGTTTCAGGGCTTGCTCTGTTGTTCTCCCTCCCTCCCTCTCTCTCACTTCTCATGGTTAGTCTTGTGATGGTGAATGTTGTGTGTAGTCAGGGAGGGATGAGTCTTGGGAGGTGTGTTTAGTGAGCATGGACTTGTCACTGCCTCTCCAGTGTTCTTGGCTGTGGAATCCTTGCCTTTGACACAACTGCTTATATTTTCAGGGTTGGCAACATCCTGTTTTCTGTGGAAACGCAAACCACAGAGGAGAGGACACAGCTGTATCACGCTGAAATAGATGCACTTTATAAAGACCTGACAGCCAAAGGAAAAGTGCTGATCCTCTCCTCAGAATTCGGGGTAGGTCTCCTTGTCTCCTTTCGCACCCTTCTACTATGTTTGCGTGATGCTGGGAGTGGAGCCCAGGACTCTGCACATGCTAGGCAAGCACTGCATGGCTGAGCCACACCCCAGACCCCTGCAATTTCTTTGGTAAATGTTTCATACCCTCAGCCTTTCATTGAGATTATATATCTTATGTTAAAGTCAAATTTAATTGTTCCAGCCTCTTTTCTAATATTCTTACAAGGCAAAAAATTTCTTGAGTTTAACAGCCAAAGTAATGGTGGGTGATACACTTAGAATTCATATCATTAGCTCTCTGCTACACCATTGTAAGTCTGGAGTTTGATGAGATTTACCCAAGTTAGCCACAGTGAAAATGGTCTGTACCTGCCCTTTCCTTCCTGCTTCCTTCCCTTCATTGTGGTTGCTGCTTATTGGGATGGTTGGTATTGACTGTCATCAAGGGATTTAGAATCACCTAGGAGACACACCTCTGGGTATATCTATGAGAATGTTTCCAGAAAGATTTAACAGGAAGAAAGACCCACTCTGAATTTGGGTGGTACCATCCCATGGGCTGGGTCCTGAACTGAATTTAAAAAAAGGAAAGTGAACTTAGCACCAGCGTTTGCTTCTGTCAGCTTCCTGACTGCCAACACGATGTAACCAGGGGCTTAGTATATGTCCACTCACACATTTGCAATGAGTTCTGGTTTAAACCAGCTGGTACATTATAATTCTTAACACAGAAGCTGGGTGTCCTTTGTACCTGGAAGCCCCTTTGATCGGTTATGTTACCCCTCTGTGCTAGACGAGAAGTGGCTCCTGACAGACCTCACTTGTCTACAGACAGGATATTCCTCGTACAAAGTGGAGGCCACAGGCCCCCCAGAAGCCACTACATTTCCTAGACACTTAGTTGACTTTTCCATGTGTTTGGTCTCCTCGGCCTAGTGTACAGGACTAAGCACAGCAGCCTTGACATCTCAGCACTGAGAAGGGAAACAGCTTGTTAGAATTTTTGGGAGATGGATGTATGTTTGAGAAAACATGTTAGGTATTGCCATATCCTTTTTAAAGTTCTAACTGCAGTGTGCCTTTTGATGTACAAGTAGCAATGCAGGAGACCAAAGCTTGTATATCAAAAGGCAGTAGCCTAAGACACAGCTGGGGAAACACTGCTCTAAGTTGACCAGTGTGGACATCTTTTACTAGAACATAGTACCAGAGAACAGCCCATGAGCAAGTGGGCACTCAGGTAACACGCGTCTGTCATCTAGCAGAGCTCTAGTTTGTGATCTGGGTTGTAAGTTCATGAACTTCTGTCCTTTTTCCTAGGAGGCTGATGCTGTCTGCAACTTAATCTTATCCTTAGTTTATTACTTTTATAATTTAATGCCCCTCTCTCGAGGATCTAGGTGAGTGATATACTATATTAAGACTGTTTTAAATTGAAAAATGTTCTTATGTCATATGCTTCCCATTACTGACACAGGCTCAAAAGTATACCATGAAATCCCTAAGCCCCATTTACCCCAAAATCCATACTAAAAAGATCACATCCTTATTGGGCATGGTGGCACACTCCTTTCCCAGCACTCAAGAGGCAGAGGTAATTGGATTTCTGTGAGTTCAAGGCCAGCCTGGTCTACATAGCAAATTTCAGGCCATGCAGGGCTGCTCAGTGAGTCCCTGTCTCAAAGAAAAATAAATAAATAAATAAATAAATAAATAAATAAATAAATAAATAAATAAATAAATGAAAAAGAAAAATCACATCCCTGACCAGCCACTTCAAGAAAATTTAACAGATAGCTTAATATAGTTTGCCTAAGTCCCAAGAGAAGAGGGGCTCACTCAGCGAGGCCTCTCTGTGCTAGCCCTGGGCCCTGTATATTTCACCAAAATAGTAAGAAATCTAAAACTTTTTGTTCTCAAAACGCAAATTTTCCTGTTGACATTTACCTTTAAATTTGTAAGCTTTTAAAGTAGTAAAGAAGAATTTTTTTTTTTAATGTTGCTGAATTATTATTATTATTTTTTTGTCTTTTTTGAGACAAGGTCTCCCTGTAGCCCCAGCTGTCCTGGAACTCACTATGTAGACCAGGCTGGCCTTGAACTCACAGATATCCGCCTGCCTCCGCCTCCCGAGTGCTGGGATTAAAGGCGTGCGCCACCACGCCCGGCAGAAGAAAATATTTTTAAAACAAGCAAAACAAAGTTCTTACATTACCCAAACATTTAGTGTTTTAGTCCAAAGCATTCTTACGTAAGATTTTGTTTCACGATGGAAGCCCACAGCGAGGTTCTCATTGATAACTGTAGGCCAGGGCCAACTGAAGACTGTTTTTTCTCAACAGTGTCATCGCCTACTCGGTCATTGTGGGAGCACTGATGGCTAGTGGCAAGGAAGTGGCGGGGAAGATCCCCAAAGGGAAGGTACGCTGGGCTGTGGGAGGCATGTGCATGGTGGCGTCGGGACCCTGGCTTCAGCATGTTTGTTAGGCTTCACTCCATGCCTTCCTCCATTTCGTCACTTCACCAATTCTCTTCTTTTTTCAGTTAGTTGACTTTGAAGCGATGACAGCCCCTGGCTCAGAGGCCTTCAGTAAAATAGCAAAAAGCTGGATGAACTTGAAAAGGTAACTGAGGGTGGGATTAGCACAGGTCTGGCTAGAGGAGGGACAGGCCCCCTGACTCTGTGCTGGTCGGAGGCCCCTGTTAATACACTCATTTTGATATGTTAGTGTTTACCTCTGTGGGTTTGGCTTACTGTTTCGAGATAGAAAAGTTTTGTAGCTATGTAGGAATTATGGGTGAGTTATAGATAAAAAATGAGTTGGGGGTGGGGTTAGGGGAATGACTCAGTGGGTAAAGTGTTTGCAGCATAAATGTAAGAACCAGAGTTTGGACCCCCAGAGTCCACGTAAAATGCTGGTTATTGTGGCAACCCACCCGTCATTCCAGAGCTCAGAAGGCAGAGGCAGGGGGTCCCTGGAACAAGGTGACTAGCTAGTCTAGCCTCTATCCATGACCCTCAGGTTCAGCAAGTGACCCTACCTCAGTAAAGTAGTAATCTCGGAAGACTCATGATACCAACCTAAGGCCTCCATATGCACATGCACACTCATGTGCCCACACACAATGCAGTAATTTAAAAAGAGTGATGATAAACTTGATGTGTGAAAGAAAAGTTACTGGTGGCTTCTTTACGTACTTAGAGTCTTCTTTCTCTCAATCTGTTACCCTAAACTCAGGCCCAAGGTCCAGGAGTGGGTTTGAACCATGGGTGAGGCTCATTTCCCGAGATCCCTGAGTGTAGCCGGAGCCTGTGGCTTGCGCTTTTGTGGCACTCCAGTTTCAAGAAGGTGATACTTCATTGCAACCTAAGCAGGACTGTGACCAGCAGCTAGAGCAGGGGTCCTGTGTCTCTGCATGCCTGAGTCCAGCAGGCACCTCCAGAAACTCTAGAGATTGTGTACTGAGCTCACAATGCTTCAGGGGTGAGCAAGCCACTGTCAGACTAGCTCCATCCTTCTGGTTTCACACCCTTTCATGCTTGCTTAACAATAGCCACTGTCACCTGCAAGGTCATTTGAGCTAGCTTCAAGTGGAGAAATGTGGTTATTGCCCATTTGTTCAGCTTCCCATATGGTCTTGGGGCTTACTAGTCTGCACATGGTGGTGTGATCAGGAGGTGGAAGATTCTGCTTCCGTTTCTTAGGTAACGTTAGTGAATCTTTCCACAGACCACATGGCCACATGTCCAGTCCTGGTTCATGATGAACTTGGGCCTCAATTGTGTTTCTTGGGCCCATGGTAGTTCAGAGCTAAGGATTTTGTCTCTGCTTTTTCAGAGGCGGGGCTTAGAGAAGTGACAGAGCCAGGAAGGTGTGAAGCTATGCCTGAGGCCAGCATCCTCGGAGCCCAGGTCCAGCATGCATTGCCACAGCACAGCAGGAGGATGTGTGGTGTGGGGTTCCAAGCACATTAAAGCTCAGTTCCTTCCCCAAGTCCTGGCTGAGCTTGCAAGGAGACCCGGACATGAGGCCACTGCTGCAGAAGCCTTTCTACCATTCTTGCCGCCTTTCTGGTGGTATCCCTTATGAGAGATTCGAGTACTAGAAACTTCCTGATAGGCATGAACGTGCCCCAGGTTGTGGCCTGTTGCTTTCAGACAGTGGTTACAGTCACATTCCCTGTGTACCCCAGGCTGCAGCTGTTGCTGTAAGAAATGGTAATAGTCACATTCCACATGTTTCTCTCTTCTAGCATCTCCCCTTCCTACAAGACCCTGCCATCTGTGTCAGAGACGTTCCCGACACTGAGGTCCATGATCGAGGTGCTCAACACGGACTCCACCCCACGGTGTCTCAAGAAACTCTAACTATACCAGGGAATTTGTACAGCGAAGGGCCAGGCCTCTTGCTTCTTAAGTTATTTTTTAAAACATGAAATTATTATGGAATTAGGTCCTTTATTACTTTTGATACCAATTTTTGATAGGAACTGAATACTTGAAATCATTTTCTTTACTTTTTCTGAACCATAACAGGAATCATGAAAACGGGTTTTTTGGGAAAAAGTTACTTGACCTGGAAGGGATGTATGTGTGTGTGTTAATGGCAGCCTATTGGTTTCCACGTGTTAAATCATACAAGTCCCTCCTTAGAGCAAAAAAAAAAAGTTTACTTCAAAAACCAAAAATTAATAATTAAGATGATCAAAGCCAAGAAGAAGCAGGAGAGCCTTCACCCACTAGAGGTGTGGTTATTCCTGAGACTTCCTCTCTGTGCACCTCCGTGGGGTGTCTCAACTGACGTGCCCCCATATGTGGGCCCTGCATCCTGCCAGAACTGTGGAAGGTCCAAGGGCACCTGTGGGTCCCATGGCTCACGGCCAAGAATGCTGGCCAGATGACGAAGACAGTATTTGCCAATGTCCCATCACTGGATTACTGAACCATGTTTTTATTTTCTTTGTTGGAAAAAAAATAAACTGAGGTGATTTCTGTAAATTGCTGGGTTTGGCACTGGATTATGTGTGTTTTAATTTGTGAGCTAGTTTTATTTTCAAGACAGGAGAATGAGGAGCGTGAGAGCGTTCCTTAAACTTCCTTAGCTTCAAATCACCTTCAGTTTTTGTATTTTTGCTGCTGTTGTTGGGTTTTTGTTGTTTTTGTTTTTTGAGACGATCTACCTATAACCCCAGCTGACCTGGAGCTCACTGTGGAGACCAGGCTGGCCCTCAGTCTCACAGAGATCTGCCTGTCTCTGCCTCCCAAGTGCTGAGATTGAAGGCATGTGTCCCCATACCTGGCATTTTTTTGCAGTGCTGGTGGTAGAGCTCGGGGCCTTGAACATGTAGGCAAATGCTCTACCATTGAACCTCAGTCCTAGATTCCATCTTGAACGTCTGGTGAGAGCAGAAGGGCCTCATACTCAGGAGCCCATGCGGTGATGCCTCGGTGATCCCTGAGTCAGTCTCAGTCACTGTGAGCCTCTGGAGGAGGCAGCTTGTTCCATCCACCCCCTCACTTTGTTGGTGCTAAGGAACTGACGTGCTCCAAACCAATTCCAGAGATGTGACTGTTGTCCTCATGTCCCCCAGGTGACCCTGAGGGAGTTAGGGTGTTAAATCACCAGAATTCATCCTGTAGCCAGAGTCCACACCCACAGGTCTGTTTCCTCCCAAAGCTAAAGTTGTTCTGAGACAGGACCAGTGACTCCATGCTGGTTTCCCAGGTAGAAACCAAAGCTCTGGGCAGGGGCTACTTCTGACTCCCCCAAGCCAGCCAAGAGTTGTACAGTGTGCCAGGGTTCCTAACCAGGCACTCGGTCCTTCCACTGCAGTGCTTAGTCCTGCCTGAATGAAATCTCCATGTATCTCTTTGGTTACTTTACACTCTTGGCTTCATTCCTCTCTGACAAATGGTCCAGTTACCAGAAGTGGGGCCTAGAGAAACAGCTGACCCCAATAGGAACAGGCTGGGCCTAAAGCCAGGGTCCTGTGTGTGGAGGTGCTGGGATGGGATTCAGGCTCAGGGGGGCCCATGAGGCCACACCCTGGGTTCAAGTCCATGTCCAGAGTCAGACCCAGAATGTACCCTGAGGTGCCTCATCTTGTGCAGGTCAGAGTTCACTCGTTCTTCCCAGGGCCTTAGAGAACTTCAAGCACAGAGGAGCTATGTGCAATGGAGTCTGAGGAAGGTGGGAACTGCGGATGGAAACTGTCAAAATGAGTAGGGTGTTTAAACTTCCCTTTTAGTGCATGCCTTTAACCCCGGTACTCGGGAGATCAAGGCCAGCCTGGTCTACATAGTCTCCATAGCAAATTCTAGGCCAGCTAGAACTAGTAGGAGACCCTGTCTCAAAAAGACTAAAAAATAAAAAGTAAACTCTTTTACTTAAAAGTCAAAATCCTTCAGTTCAACAGGGACTTTTCCTCACATCACCAAACCTTTGTGATTAGAAATTGAGATGTCCATTTTTCAACAGGAAATACCGCTCCCAAGGGACGTGAATTTTCTAAAGTGTGATATGTCTAAACCTTAATCATCATTGTGGGTACCATAACAAAGAACCCAAAACTTTGTGACTTAAAGGAAGCCGTTGCTTCTCATGCTCTGGAGGCTGAGATCCAAGATCAGAGTCAGCAGATTTGATGTCTGGTGAGGACTGCACCTCAGTTCAGTCTCGCTGCATCGCCACATGGCTCTCATGCCCCCTCCTGTGAGACTTTACCCCCCTCTACTCACCAGCCCCACTGACTGGATTTATAATCACCATGGAAACATGCATGTTGCCAGAAAGATTTAACCGATGGGGGAAGACCCACCCTGAATGTGGGCAGCACCATCCTGTGGGCTGAGGTCCTGGACTGAATAAAAAGGAGAAAGTGAGCTGAGCACCAGCATCCACCTCTCTGCTTCCTAACTGTGGATGCCATGTGACCAGCTGCCTCACACGTCCTACCATGATGGACTATACCCCCAAACTGTGAGTGAAAAACCCTTAAGTTCCCTTGGTCAGATATTGTCTTCAACATGCACATCTTGGGGGAACACATGTCTAACAAGCTCAGAATAGGGCTCATTATTGCATTCGTTGGCTCCAAATCACTACATTAAAAAAGTTTTTTTTTATTTATTTTTATTTTATGTGTATGAGTGTTTTGCCTACATGTATTTAAGTGCATCTGTATTGTGTAATGTCCTTGGAGGCCAGAAGGGGGTTTCAGGTCCCCAGGAACTGGAGTTGTGGATGGTTATTAGTATTATGTGAGTGTTGGGAGCCAAACCCAGGTCTTCTGCGAGAGCAGCCAGTGCTCTTAACTGCTGAGCTGTCTCTCCAGCTCCCAAATCACTACATTTCGATTTCTGTGTTAATAGCCCACTTTCTGCTCATGCAGGTGATGTATATGACTGGGAATCCTAGGAAGCCATAGGTTCATGTCTACAAGGCTGGAAGCTGAGATCCATCCATCTGCCGCCCCAGGTCCCTGAATAGATGGGCCAAGTAGTGAGGTCCAACAAAGCATCACCAGCAGTTTTGTTTGGTGGCTGAGAAGGTACCACCCTAGGATGCCCTGGTGCCTAACTTTGAGGTTCCTGTCTCAGGAAAGCCATGGGAACATGGAATGTGGTAGGGTTGGTTTTTTTTTAAATAAATTTATTTTTGTTTTATGTATATGTTTTGCCTGCAGGTAAGAGCACCACATGTATTCAATGACCACAGAGGCCAGAAAACGGCATCAAATCCTCTGCAACTGGAATTATGGTCAGTTATTAGGCACCATGTGGGTGCTGGGAACCAAGAGCATCTTATGCTTCTAATCACTGAATCAGCTCTCTAGCCCCATAAAATAATTTTTTGGGTTGTTTGTTTGTTTTTTGTCTTTTTGAGACAGGGTCTCCCTGTAGTCCCAGCTGGCCTGGAACTCACTATGTAGACCAGGCTGGACTCAAACTCACAGAGATCTGCCTGCCTCTGCCTCCCAAGTGCTTGAGATTATGCCACCATGCCCGGCTCTTAGAATGTGTTTTATGTGGTGATGTTTAAAGTTCTTTTCATTTGTAAATCTGAGAAGTCCCAGAAATCTACTTTTATTTTTCTAACATCTTTCTTAAAAATTCATATTAGGCCGAACATGGTGGTGTACACCTGTAATCCCAGCACTCGGGAGGCAGAGGCAGGTGGATCTCTGTGAGTTCAAGGCCAGCCTGGTCTACACAGTGAGTTCCAGGATAGCTGGGGCTACAGGGAGACCCTGTCTCAAAAAGACCAAAAAAAAAAAAAATTCATATTAGGCCTGAGGGATGGCTCAGTGGGTAAGAGCCCTTGCTACACAAGCCTGAGGACCTGAATTCAAGAAGCTGGGCATGGCTGCACATGCCTGTAAACCCAGTATTTTGGGTGACAGAAATAAGAGTATCACAGGCTTACTAGCTCTCAGTCTAGCAGAAAACTGAAAAGTCCATGTTTAGTGAGAGACCTTGTCCCGAGGGAGTAAGGCAGAGCGTGCCAGAATAGGCAGCTGGCAGGTGCACACACCACACCCACACTTTTAAAGGAGCACAGGAGAAGAATGGAGCACACCTGGAATCCGAGCATTCTCAAGAGCCAGAGGCAAGAGGGTCAGGAGTTCAAGGTATCCTCAGCTATATGAGTTCATGAATACAGGAGACTGCCACAAAGGACGGAGGGAGGGGGAGAGGGAGGGGGAGAGTGAGAGAGTCCAAGTCCAAGCCAGATATGGTAGCTCATGCCTGTAATCTTATGAGGCTGAGGCAGGATTGCTGCGTTTCGGCCAGCCTGGGCTACACTATGAGCCCCTGTCTCAAAAATTGTATCTATGTTCTTATACATACATATAAATGTTCTTTCTCTGTTGACTTCAAAAGCTGCCTTTGAAAGAAATCAGCAGTGAAATGGGTAAGACACCTAATGTCCCTTTGCAAGAGTGGCAGTGTGTGGTGTGGACCAGTGTGGCTGCCAGGTGAGGAATGTTTCTCCCAGCTGTGTCCCTGACCAATCCCTGCTCACTTCCTTTCAGTCTTGGACTTGTTAGCCCTGCAGCCTTGGAGAGGTACCTGGCCACACTCTAACTTTGAGCCATAGACAGCTGTCCTGGGTGTGAGAGGCCCATAAGCTGCCTGGGGAAGTCCATTTTTAATGTTGCTCTAAAGCAGATGGCTCACGTCGCGTGGACTAGTCAGACTCAGTCACTTACCTTTGCCTTGGTGTCAGGCCAGAGTGCCTGGCTGATAAGCCAACAGCTGATTGGAACTGAAGAAAAACAGCAGCTAGCAAAAATAGCAGATAAAGCAGGGAATCTGAGTTTGAAGACATGTGAACATAAGGTCTCTAGTCCTCAGAGTGGAGAGTGACTCTGAGGACTAGAGTCCTCAGTGGAGCCATCAACAGAGCTCCTTGACCTCTTCTCCTGGGAAAAACATTCCAGGAAAGAAGACCCTAATATTTGATTCTAAAATGTGCTTGGGGGCTAGAGAGATGGCTCAGTGGGTAAGAACACTGGCTGTTCTTGCGGAAGACCTGAGTTTGAATTCTAGTGCCCACATGGCAGCTAACAACTGTCTGTATCTCCATTTCCAGGGCATCTGATGCCCTCTTCTGTCCTCTGCAGGCATTACATGACACAGGTGCACTTACATACATGTAGGCAATATACACATACACATAAAAATAATAAACTATAAAATGTGTTTGGAGCCAGGCATGGTGGTGCATGCCTTTAATCCTAACATTCAGGAGGCAGAGGTAGGAGGATCTCTGTAACATTCAGGCCAGCTTGGGGCTACAGGGAGACAATGTCTCAAAAAACAAAAAAGGTGGGTTTTTTTTTTTTAACGGGGGGTTGATAAGGTGAGGGTGAAGGTAAGGAAGGATATAATCAAAATTCATTGTATGAAATTCTTGAATCAAAATTTCTCTTAAACTTTGAAAAAACCTTAAAAAGAAAAATGTGTTTGGGTGAGGGCAGCAGGGCCATGTGTCT